GAGCAGCGGTACCCCTTCTCTCCTGGCAGCCAGTGCGAGAGGAACCCCTGCCCCGCAGAGAGCCGAGCCTGCCACCTGGCCGCCGCCTCCATCTCCTTCCACTACCTGCCACTCCAAGCCAACCGCACTGTGCCCCGCGTCCTCTTCAAGATGTCCACCACCCACTTCGTGGGCGACAGCCTGCGCTTCGCCATCGTGGGCGGCCGGGGCCAAGGAGTCTTCTCCGTGCGACGCTCTGACCGGCAGACGGGAGAGCTGGTGCTCAGCAGCCCCGTGCACTGTGCCCCGCGTCCTCTTCAAGATGTCCACCACCCACTTCGTGGGCGACAGCCTGCGCTTCGCCATCGTGGGCGGCCGGGGCCAAGGAGTCTTCTCCGTGCGACGCTCTGACCGGCAGACGGGAGAGCTGGTGCTCAGCAGCCCCGTGAAAAAAACTGGAGGTGGAGCTGGAGATGAGCGAGTTCTCGCGCAAGGTCCTCCTGGGCAAACACATCTTCAAGGTCACAGCCTTTGTGTCCCCGTACGAGTTTTGATCCCCTGCGGAGGTGGATGTGAGGCCAAGCCAAGGTCTCTCCTGGGGAGTGATGGAGTGGGCACAGCTCAGTGGCCCCAGTTCTTGCCCTGTTGGAGATGTCCCTCTCCCACAACGCTTGCTCACAGCTGGTAGGGTGAAGCCACCGCAGCAGAAAGGGTGCCTGTCGCAAAGGCTGCGAGGAAACCCGAGGGGCTGCCCTCTGTATTGCTCTGCGGACAGAGGGACCAGCCCGGGGTGCCCGCCTCTGCCAGCCCCCTCACCTCTGCCTGCGCGGCACGCGGAGGGGCACAGCAGAGCAAGCCGGCGGCACGTGGCGTGCAGGTCCGGCTCCCTGTGTCTGATAAGCTCTAATAAAAGCAAAGTGGCTGCAGGAAGGGTGTCCTCCTTGCTCTGTGCCTGCTGCGTGGGCGCAGCCCCGTGCTCCTGGGGCAAAGCTCTGTGGCTGCCCATGGCACTGCTGGGCCCCAGGGAGAGCTGGGGGCTGTGATCACAGCAGGGTCCCCTTGCAGAGCTTGGGGTGGCAGTAGAGCTGTCAAGCCCACCCAGGATCACTATTCTGTCCCTCCTAGCTCCACTACTCCCAGGGGCCATGATGGACATCCCTGCTGGGCAGGACTGGGAGCTGGGCTGAACATGCTGCCCTACATGTCCTGCACAGCCAAGGCTTGTTCCCAGACTGTGTGGCAGGTGCCAGGAAAGCGCAGTGGGGCTCCTTGGCACCAGGTGCGCAGGGGCTGGCGACCAGGGGCCGTGCTTCCTTGCAGCCAGGAGACTTCCTTCTGCAACAGCTCAGACAGGAGCAGACTGAACACTGCAGCTTTGCAGCTCACCAAACGCTCAAGCTGTTCCCCTGCTCTGGACTCGAGGAGGGTGGGCAGTGAGGACAAGAGGTGCAGCCCCCCACGCTCCTTGGGCACCCCTTTGTCAACCAGCCCCCCGGCGCAGGGAGAGCTGCTGCCAGCCGGAGGCTGAAAAAGTGACGAGGGCCTTTGGGGACAGCGGGTGAAGGACACGCTGCCCTCAGGACACCCATCCCTCCGCACACAGAAGCCTTCTTAGGTGAGTGGCCGGCCGGCCCGTGCCAGTGGCCCTCGCACAAAGCGGCCGCTGTGCACAGACCGCCGGCGGCTCATAAAGATCCCCTTATGCACCCGCCGCCGGCACCGCTCGCCAGCTCCGGGGGCTCGGCATGGCCGCTTTGCTGGAGGAGGAGGAAAAGCCTCCCCGGGGACAGCAGAGCTGCGGGCTGCGTTAGCCGTGCTGCGTCACAAAAATCGGCAGCCGGCCCGTGCCGACCGAGGAGAGAGGCTGGGATACAAAGTAGGGAATTGCAAGGGTAAATATTTATTCCCGCGCAGGAGGTGTCCCCAGCCAAACTGGGCCCCCCAAATGTGGTTTTGCACAGGGTTCTTGAACCCTTCAAACCTTCAGGTACAACACAATTTGACTAATCACTGACGCCCGCCCTACTGATTACTAATTGTAGCAGAACTTTGCAAAACCGCTCTCTTTTTGCAGCTTTCTTGCAGAATTCAGACGTCTCTGGAGTCAGTCTTGCTGGAGTTACTGATCCATGATGCCCTACGATGCTGGGAGGGTTTCAAAGCTGTGTCAGAGGGCTGAGATGCTGGTGTTCTCTTGGTTGACCCAGGGTATCTTTTTCTCCTTCTTGGAAGCTTAGAGCCCTTATTTCCAGTGCCAGGCTGTCATTTAGTTTGTTTTACTTAAGCACAAACAATACTAAAGTCTCCAGTAAAATTCCACTACCTCGATACGTTACAGCCCAGCGTGTGAACTTGTCACATACGCACCTACAAACGAAGTTAAGGCACAGTCATACCATGAAGCCTGGTTGATACGCTAATTAGGGAAGGGAATTTTCCTAACAGCTGCCGGGGAGCAGGACAGCCACGCAGGGCCGGCTTGCCCCAGCTCCCAGCCGGGCTGCTGTCCCTCCATCGCCAGCTCCCAGCGCCTCCTCAGCCCCAGCCACCTGGAAAGTCTTGGATGATTTTATAAAAACACAGCCAGCCTTACCGGCAACACTTCACAGGTGGCTCTGGGGAGACGGAGGGAAACACCAGCACCCTCCGCTCCTCCCAGGGAGGCTTTTTGAAGGATTTTTGGTTTGGCCTTCCCCATTCCCCGGAGGATTCACCGCCTCCTTCCAAAGCAGCGTGGGCAGCAGGTGGAGGGA